AGGTAAGGAGCCGAAGACTGAACACAATATTCCAAATGTGGCCTAACCAGGGACCTGTACAATGAAAGTATAATCTCTTTAGACTTGAAATAAATATTTCTATAGTTACAACCTAAAATCCTATTTGCCCTACCTCTAACAACAGCACAATGCTTGTATGGCTTTAGAGACTGATCGACTATTACACCAAGATCCCTTTCCTTCATAACACTGTTATGGTTATTCCCATCCAAATTATATTTATAATTCAAATTATGGTAACCCACATGCATTATCTTGCATTTATTATAATTAAAACCCACCTGCCATTTATTTAACCAATTCACTAAATGATCTAAATCTTTTTGTAAATCAGCAGCATCCTCTTCACAACTAGCAACACCCAATACCTTAATATCACCTGCAAATTTATGTAATTTATTGACTATTCCTTCATCTATGTCATTGATGTAAATCTAAATGAGCAAAGGGCCTAAGACTGAGCCCTGAAGTACCCCATTTGTGACATTAATCCAGTTTGACTGAACTCCATTTGTAACAACTCTCTGCTTTCTTCCATCCAGCCACTCTTCTATCCAATTTGCTAACTTATCCCCCACACCTATAGAGCTATTTTTTTTACAAGCCTTTTATGTGGCACCTTGTCAAATGCTTTCAGAAAATTCAGATACACCAAATCTACACCCTTACCCTGATCTACATAAGCAGTAACTTTTTCAAAGAATGTTAAGAGATTTGTAAGGCAAGATTTTCCCTTAGTGAAGCCATGTTGACTATCCAATAAAATTCTAAACTTTGTTAAATGACTTTGCTAAGCATCTTTTAACAGACTTTCCAAAATTTTTCCCACAACTGATGTAAGACTAATGCATTTATATTTACTGGGACAATTTTTATCACCTCCCTTGAAAAGAGGAGTTACATTAGCTAAATTTCAATCCTCTGGTTCCTGCCCACTATTTAAGGACTGACAAAAAATAGTAACAAGTGGCTCACATATCCAATCTTTAACCTCCTTTGAAACCCTTGGGGAAATATTTTCTGGACCAGGTTCCTTATCCTTTTTTTTTTTAACTTCCCAATTTTTTGCTTTTCATATCTTGAGTTGTTGTGAGAGAGTGACCCCAAGGAACCAAACATTTACTTTAACCGTGATCTTTTTTTGTGCACTTATTATCCCTTCCAATTAAATTTCATTTCCTTAATTAAACTGAATTGTTTACTGTCACGTACTAATATTAAGCATTTTTTATTCAACATTTTTTTCTAGCATAACAAAGAACATTTTCTTATCAGAAGCAATTATCTAGTAATATGTCAAACTTTTATGATTAAACAATTATATTCAGAAAAAGTACCAGCTAGAATTTGCTTTATTTGAAAGCCTTTTTCCACCATATCATTAACTCCTATTTAGGAATGGGAGGAGCCTGACTAATTTGATGACTCCTACAATTCAGGAGCTATTTAGTTGAGAACAGTCAGTTTATATAGTTGACATTCAGTAGACAGTTTGAAAAAACTGGAAATGGCTGTTACAAGATACTAGTACACGCTGAACTTGACATGGTTGTGGCTTTCTGTGGTATATTATTGTACTGCATACTGACACTCAGTAACAGTAACGCTAACATACTTACATAGTGGAACAGCTGCCCTGAATATTGAATGTGAAAGGATGCAATAAACACTGAAAATTATTGAAAAGGAAATTATGGCATCAAAGAGGAAGAAAAATATATCCTTAGAGGAAATATGAAATACATATTATGGTTTTTCTCTTCGTTTTTTTTTTTTTTGCTTGATAAAATAGAAAGATAAAAACACTAAGTTCTGCTCCTAAGTTTTTAATTTTGTTTTTTTTTTGAAAAATATTGAGAAACATGATAAAATATATTTCACGTTTCCTTTAAAAGTTTATGAATTATATTCTCTTCTTTTTCGGTCCTTTCAAATGTTTAACTTTTAAGTTTAACGTTACGTCGTTAGTACGACCCAAGTTGAACTGGTCATTTAAAAGTAAAAGTTCAATTGTTATATTTGAAACTTGTAAAATTATATATTAGTTATTAATACTAAACAAAAGTGTGATACTAATATTTACACATTGCACTAAATCTTGCAGATTTTTAGGTTCCTGTCCTTTATGGTCTCCTGGATATTCGTCTTTGCTTATCTCAACAGTTTCTTGATTAGATCTATCACTCCCTTGACTCCTGTTCTCAGCCATATTTGTGGCCCTCTATGATAGGTATGTGGAGATGACAGACTAAATTTAAGATGAATTAAAAAGATAAATAAATGAAAAGAAGAATTTTATCTTTTTTGTCTGTCTGTAGTTAAGTACAAAGCTACATAAAGGGCTATTTGTATTCTGCCCATCATTGGTATCGAAGCCCCGTTTCTAGCTTTGTGAGTTCGCAGAAATACCGCTATGCCACTGGGGGACATCCCTTTGCTTATTTACTTAAGCTATGGGTCGTACGTGTTCTAGTGATTACTGTTCTCAGACAGGAAATCCAACCGAGGGTCGTGGTTAGTGGCCCGTTGCTACAAAACGAGCTCCGCATTTTGGGGCCGTTTGTACGATGTATATTCTGAAACAAAAACATTAATCCTGATGTTATAATGGAAGTTTGGTTTCTTATTAACTCATTTTAATTTTATAAGCAAAGCCAACCGTTGTGTGGATCTCATTTAGGCAAATATCGCTTTTATTAAAATACATTTGTACCATAACTGAATAACATAACGTTCTGGGACAACATGGGACCTATTGGTCCATCTCGGTTGTTCCATCCTCTAAACTAAACTAAAAGTATTGAGAAAAATCTTAAAGCTAGCCCTTATCATTCATATATTTATCAA